CAGAGGAGCCAGAATTGCATCCACACACTGGTGAAAGTGTGGGGTGACAGTGCTAGGCCGAAAGGAAGTGAAACACAGTCTGGACGTTAAGATTAATATTATAATAAAATATGCAATTTAAAAGAATCGCAAATAATAGCTTGCAAACACATTAATACGTTTGCATGCGATTGGAGGAAAGAGAGCGAAAGAGGGAAAGAGAGAGCCGTTATTTTGACTGACACATACAGAGCACTTGCTGAAGATACAGAAGCTAACGCTGTTTATTTTGGATGTGCTTTTAAGCTTCCTGGTCTCTACATCACCCCGCCCGTGACGTCTCGCCATTCCATTGGACTGATTTCACACATGCTTCAGGACACGGTCACACAGAGGCTTTCCCAAACCGTTTCGGACGCAGTGCGAGTTCCCTGAAGGGGAACCAGAGTTTTTATTTTTATATTACTTGAATTTACTTGTTTAACCACAGCAGTCATCTTTGTGTCATGGTCCGCAACATGGTTACATGGATGTTTATGTAACCTCAATATCTCAGCTAAAGATGATCAGAGCTTGAAACAAAAACTGATTTCAAGGTACATGAAGATATAAAAAACATTTTGCACATTTCTCTTCCTTAAGCCTTCTACACACTGCACGATTTTCGGCTGTCCCAGACGAAAGATTGGCATTGTGAAACGTGGCAATTTCTGTGATCGTGGCTCCTAAACGGTGGTCCTATATCGTACAGTGAGAGAGGTTGAAAGACGGCCGTTGTCACGGTCTTGCGACCAAAGATAGCATACGATAATTTTCTGACAGTGTCAGAAATTCAGCATGATCATCACAGTGTGAGTTTGCTGCTACGACCCACGTTTACTGGCCAGCCAATAAAAATGCGACATGAAATCAACGCGACATGGCGCTAAAACATAAAACTGCTTACCTCAAGCTCTTATTAGGGCTGGGCGGTATGACGGTATATATAGTTACCACGGAATAAAGTGTCTATCGTTAAGAGATTTTGCTATATCATGTATTCCGCGGTATGCAAATATATCTGCGTAACATACTGCTTAAACGTTATATTCACCTTTGAGAGATAATGAAACATGCATGAATGAGAAAATAAAGACTGATGCACTTGATCGAGTGAAGTGCAATATGCAATAAAAAAAGAACTCAATGCGGTGCTCGCACTGACTGACACACACGAAGCACACACTCAGGAAGAGCCTTCTCTCAGACAGCATGCGATCGCGAATTTGGTACATGCATGATGTTTAATAAAGTTACTACGTGCAATAAGCAGTGAAAAAAAGCTCAATCCTCTGCTCGCGATGACTGACACACAGCCGAAGCGCGCGCACTGAAAGCCCCTCTCAGACAGCATGCGATCGCGAAAACAGATCTCTTTCTTGTTTTATGTCATAATGCCCATCGTGTGGAGTATTCTCGTAAACACAGTCGGTTATGTGTTAAACAAATGTAAACAGTCGGGGAGAAACAGGATACGTTTCAGTATATTCGATTGGTCTTAAAGGGACAGCAGCCTTATTTACCTGCTGCTGTCTGTCATTATTAATGTTAATCATGTTTGACTGATACAGTGAAGACTATGCAGACTGTTTTATTTATACACTATTGAATTTCTGCAATATTTCTTACTACGTTAAATAAACCTAGCCTACTGTAGCCGAATAAATTAAACATTTATTTCATATTTATTTGTTCTGTTGTGCTTGTAATTTGCTTCTTTTTCTTAATTTTAATAACAAAAATAAAATAGAAATAGCTA